TCTCCTGCATCGGCAGGCGGACTCTCAAGCACTGCGCCACCAGGGAAGCCCCCTCCCTACTCTTTGATAGATTCATTGAGTGGTGTATTTATCTTGTCACCTGTTTACACTGGTCACGTGATTTGTTTACTATGTCACCTGTTGATGAACCTTCAGACGTTTCCAAATTCTTGCTGTTCAAGCAGTAGCACAGTGAACAGCCCCAGGTCTCACTCACGAATGAGTGAATTTTGTATATAGTTGTGTGTATGTGTTAATCCCAAACTAATTTATCCCTCCCCCCTCCCGTTTGGTAACCATGTTTGTTTTCTATGTCTGTGAGTCTATTTCTGTTTTGTAAATAAGTTCATTTGTATCATTTTTTTAGATTCCACATATAAGTGATTATCATATGATGTTTGTCTTTCTCTGTTGCAGACAACAGAATCGTATTCAGCCTTAGAAGGAAAGAAATTCTGACACATGCTACAGCATGGATAAACCTTGAGGACTTTATACTAAGTGAAATCAGCCAGTCACATAAGGGCGAATTCTGTATGATTTCATTCATATGAGGTATTCAGAGGACTCAGATTCACAGAGACAGAGAGCCCGTGGAGTGACCAGAGCGGCCTATCCAGCTGGACGTCCAGAAAGGGCTTCTCTTGGCCGCCAGAGTCCCTGCAGAGACAGGAGTAAAGCTGGGAGGAACCCAGATTAGACCATGAGTGTCAAGTGCATAATGGGGTGGGGGGCATGGGTCAGAGCCTGTCCCTGAACCTGGAGTGGAACCGAAGCCTCCTCCCCACCCCACAGGGTGTGTGTGTGCGTGTGTATGGTCCTAGAGTAGGTAACGCCTGCGGTCACATCAGACGCTCTGACGGTCTGTGTGAATCCACGGGCGCGTAGGTGCATCCACAGACCGAAGGCACATCTGTGCACAGACTGCAGATCACAACGGGCCCGGCAAGGGCGCGCCGCGGTGCTCCTAGCCTGGCGATCACATATTCGGATGGATGGGGCGACGCTGCCTGCTCTGATCCCTAACTCATTATTAAGCTCCTCGCTCTTTGCAGACGCTCCCTGCGCCTCCCCCGCTCAGGGCTGCAGCGGCGCAGGCGCCGGGGCCGAGCCGAGCGCCGAGCTGGGAGCGAGCAGCCGCGCTCCGGGCCAGGGTCCCGGGGGAGCAGGTGAGCGACCCGCGCCGCGCGGTCCCCAGGCCCTTGGAGGAGACGCCGCGCCGCCGCGCTGCGCTGGCACCCCGGCCTTCCCTGCTTGGCAGTACCCGTCTTGCTTCTGTTGGCATCACCCCTCCTTCCCTTGCCTGGCATCCCTCCTCCCCCCTGCCTGGCATCCCTCCCCCCACCCCGTCTGGCATCTACCCCCTCCTCCCCTCGCCTGGCACCTCCCTTCTTTTCCCTTCCTGGCACCTTCCCCTTACCTGGCACCTTCCCCTTACCTGGCATCCCCTTCTCCCTGCCTGGCTTCTTCCTCCCCTTCTCCTTTCCTGAGCTCCCCCCCCAACTACTGACGCTCTCCCTCCCCCTGCCTGGCACCTCCCCCCACTCCCTTTCTTGCACCTCTTCCATGACTGGCAAACTCCCATCCCGCCTCCTCCCTGATTCTCCCCCTTCCTCACCCCTGCCTGGCATCTTTGCCTCCCTCCCCTACCTGGTACCTTCCCTTTCTCCCTCCCCTGCATTTCCCCTCCTCCCCATGCCTGTCACCTCCTCACAGCCTAGCACTTTCCCATCCTTCTGACTGGCATCCTCTGCCTGGCACTTCCCCTCCTCCCCCGCTGCTTGGTATCTGCCCTCCTCCCCCTGCCTGGCACCTCCCTTCCTCCCTTGTGTCTGGCACCTCCCCCCTGCCTGGCACCTCCCCTCCTTCCCCTCCCCTCCTCCCCACCGCCTGGCACCTGCCCTGTCTCCACTTGGCATCCTCTTGCCTGGACACCTCGCTCCCTTCAGATTGTCCCTCTGTCTCCCACCTTCCTGCAGGGCACGTCCTCCCAGCCCTGGGCTGCTAACGTCTCCCCTGCTGGCATCTTCCTCCTCTCCTTGCCTCCCCTTCCTCCTCACCTTCTCACAGGGGCCCTCTGGCCAACACCAACTACACGTGACCCTGAACTGCTCTCAAGCCCTGCCCCCGTAGGTACAGCGCTGCCCCCCATCCCCCACGCCCCCCCATCTGCCCAGGGGCTCCAGCTCACAAGTTGGGCTCTGACCCCAGCCCACAGTCGTCCTGCTCTTGCATGGGGGTGAAACCAGGCTGTGCACACAGGGAGGGTTCCATGTGAGCTGAGCAGAGTACAGAGCAGGTCAGCTCTACCTGCCGGCCACCCCTAGACTCCCCAGGGATGTCATCCAGGTCCCAAGCTGGCTGGTGGTCCTCCTCCACCTATTGCCAAGCCCCCCAAGTTTGCCTGCCCCGCCAGGGCCTGGGCTCTGCCTGGATCCTCTGCTCTCGTCCATCTAACTCTGTCCTGCAGGACCCGCCTCTGGCGGCTTCCTGCACTCACACTGCTCCCACACCACACTCCTCCTCGTGCCACCCAGCTGGGCTGGCCCTCGCCTGCCCCCTCGTCCCTTCCTGCACATGTCCTGCCTTTCTCAGACTGTGCCAGCGAGTGGGACCACGCAGCAGGCCCCTCAGCATCCTCAGGCCCATTGTGAGTCTGCCTCTGGGGCTTGGGGTCTGGCCCGCCCTTCCCACTGCCCTCTCCTTTCAGATCCTCCTCAGAATGGCCCTTGGTCCTGCAGGCACGGTAGGCTCTGGGCCCGGGCACCGAGGGGGCACTGGATGACTCCCCCACCGCAGGACGCAGCCACCTATGACTCCAGGCCTTCAGCACCCACCCGCCGTGGTACAGGTAGGCGCTGTTTCCCCCACCAGCCCAGGAGCAGGAGCCCTGGGCCTCCACTGAGAGCTGGTGGCTCTCAGCCTCTGGTCACGCTCCATGGCCCCCTCTTGGCACTTCTGCCCCCATCTGGACCCGTGGCAGTGCCTCTTCTCATCCCCTGTGACAGCTGGAGCCTCTGCCCAGACCCTGCTGCCGGCTACCGCCACCATTGCCCTCCCTCTTGCTTAGTGTGCCCTTACCTCCCGCCATCCCTGGGCCCTGCCTCTCAAAGCCATTGCAGACAGGGATGAGTGAGCCTGAAGCCAAGGTTTTGGTCCATGTGAAAGTGGTCTAGTGCTCTGGCTTGTTCCACTTCTTCCCCACCCCCAGACCCCCAGACACACCTCCTTGCCCTCATGCGTGTGTGAGTGCACCCATGTGCCCGACACCCCACACACACGTGTGCACACATGCTTTCTGACAGTCGGGAGGAACAGGAACCTGTTGAGCCCTGGCACAACTTGGGCTCCAGAAACCTACCCCCAAACATGTATGGCGAACACCTGAAAGCCTTCCAGGCCCCAGGCAGGGCTTTGTTTGGGTCAGGAGGGGTGCTGGTGGCATCCCGATTCAGGGCCTCCGGGGCAGCCAGCCCTGCACTGGCTCAGAGGCACTCTCAGGCCCATCGCACGTCAGTTGGACCCTCCTGAGCCTCCTCCGGGCAGTGTGAGAGGAGGACAGCCTAGCTAGTCCCACGTTGGGCGCCCCTGGTCCAGAAGGAAGTGCTGAGGCCCCACGTGAAAGGCCACCTGCCCCAGAGCCCCATCCATCTGTGCGGAGGGAGGGGTTGGAGCTGGGTCTGAAGCCTGCAGCCTGGTCTGAGCTCTGCCTGTCCAGCCCCACCCGTCACTTTGGCCACCTCACCGGTGGGAGTCACCTGGCAACATATGGGGTGCTCTCAGGGCCCTGGAGGTGTGAGGGACCCAGTCCCCGCCCTCAGGCCGGCAGACCAGGATGGGGAGCAGACTTGGCCACCCCACAGGAAGTGCCAGAGTGGATGACTCAGGCCTCCGGGCTCTGACAAGGGAGACGTCAGGAAAGCCCTTCGTAGGGGCGATTTGAAGTTGGCTTTCAGAGAACAGGAAGGTGGGGTAGAGGCTGGCGACTCGGGGGCAGGGGCTGGGCTGAATGAGAGTGGGGGAGGCTGGCGACTGGGGGCGGGGGCGCTGAATGAGAGTGGG